CTTGTCCCACCAGAACTGCTCTGGTCAAGATCACTAATTACTCTCTAGCTAAATATCCACGGCTAGTTCTCAGTCCTTTTCTTCATTTACTTGCCATCTGGCATTGCTCTTTTGGTGGTCTCCTGCTTCACTGGCTGCCCTTCTCTCCTTTGCTGGTTCCTCCTTAGCTGCATAACTTCACAACATTGAAGTGCTTCAGACCTTGCTGTGTTCTCTCTCTCTCTCTCTCTCTTTCTCTCTCTCTCTCTCTCTTTCTCTCTCCACACACACACACAATTATTTCCTTGGCTATTTTATCCAGTCACTTTTCTAACTGCCTTCTGGACTTCATTGACATGTCTGAAGAGAGAATACATATCCCAGTCTTCTCCCCAGAATTCCCATTTTCCATATCATCTGACCAGAACTCCATTCTCTCAACTGCTATTTATTTTCTCATGCAGCTTCTCCTTCAGAAAATAATAGTGGGTCTACCTTCTGAACATACCCGGAATCATTCTTATATCTCCACCACCACCACTTTGGTCTTGGCACCAACATCCTTTCTCTAAATCATTGCAAAAGCCTCTGACTGATTTCCCTGCTTTTGCCCATGCACTTTGTCTATTTTCAGTTATAGTAGGCGGAGTGATTTAGGTCAGATTATATTGCTCCTTTGCTCAAAAGCTTTCCATTTGACCCAGAGTGCAAGTCCGAGTCCTTATGGTTGCCTTTCATTATCTTATTAACTGCACGGACTCTCCAATTTCTTCCTTAGTCACTTTAATTGAGCCACTGACTCTTTCCTGAGATATCGCCATTGCTTGGTCCCTCATCCTATTCAGATCTTTCAAATGTCATCTTTGTTTTATTTTTCTCCAAAATACTTATCATCTAATATACTGTACATTATTTAATGTCTGTTCACAGAGATATATAAGCATAATGAAATCAAGATTGTTCTTTTTTGTTCTTATTTGCTGCTATATTCCTATCATCTAGAAAAATGCCTGGCATAGAGTAGTAGGACCTCAACAAATTGGTTAATGAATAAATAAAACGAAATGTAGTGAAACATATTAAAAACAACAACAACAAAGCAGTATTTAAGAACAGGCCTAAATATTTGCCTTCATTATTGCAAGATCATTCCTATCAAACCACCAAACCACTTTCCCCTGCTGATTAGCTTTGTCAAATTAATTGACCCCTACTTGCCAAGTTATACTTTAGTTTTTGTGCAACAGTTACAATTATTATAGTTCAAAAACTCAGTTTATCAAACATAAATTAAGTTAGTACTAGGCTTTTAATGGCTGTGGTAAATATCAAAGAGAAGCTGGTGATTTATGCGCATTTTATACAAAAGAATGGCCCAATTAAAATGAAATCTCTGGTTCTTATTCTAGATTTGTGAATGCCTGGGACTCTGGAATTTGTATTTATTGCTTTTTGTAGGTTTTAATGCTGAGAAGGTGGTTATAGCTTTTTACATCTGTACAAACTCATCTTGAAATAGTTCCTATTCCCTATGCGTTTTGTTTAAAATTAGTTGGCCTAAAATAATCTCTGAATGATTATTTCTCTTACAATATATGTAACCATTTCCAAATGGTGATTATTGGCACGTGTTTAGCAATTTCAGAGGCTCTGTAGTTTTTAGCTTGAAGAATTTTTATTGATATCATCACTTACCTTCTTCGCATAGCCATGCCAAAGAGGGGAGGGGGGAAAAAAGGGGAAGAAAATTAGAAAAATAAGATTTAGAAGAAGGATATAACACACAGGAATGATGGAAGACTTCTTTGGAAAATACAGTTCATTAAAAAAATTGTTTAAAATATTAGAAATGTTTTTCATCATTAAACTTTCCAGCTAGCTTTATACCCTACCAAATAGTATTTTGTTCAGAAGCATACTCAATAAGCCAGAAGGTTAACACTGCATCCAAGATTTTCCACTCTGATTTATATTCAGTGATCATAATGTGACAGGTTTTAATAATAATCTCAAATTTTTGTTTCATTTATTGATTTATTAAAATCCAGAAACTACATTCAGAGTATTCAGGTATTGAGTCTTGTTTGTTAAAAGACAACAGTTAAGCTTTGGAGGTTCCTCTTATTAGTTTCTAGTTTATTTTTAGTTCAAATCTTTATTACTTGAAAATTATTAGTCTTATATAAGAAGTTTAAACCTTTCAGATCTTGGCTCCACAAGTGGTCAGTGACCTGGGAACCTTTCTGAGTCCCAGCTTTTTCATTTATAAGAAGATGGTTTTTTGTTTTGTTTTGTTTGTTTTTAATAAGTGGTTTTTGTTTTTTTAATTTATTGATTTTTTTTTTTTTCTTCTTTACAAAAAGGAAGGGATAGAGAGTTAGAAACATCGATGAGAGAGAAACATCGATCAGCTGCCTCCTGCACACCCCCTACTGGGGATGTGCCCGAAACCAAGGTACATGCCCTTGATCAGAATCGAACCTGGGGCCCTTCAAGTCCACAGGCCGACGCTCTATCTATTTTTAATGGTATCTATATCATATGTGTTTTGTGAGGTTTAACTTTTGAAACACTTAGCTACCTGCCTTTTTTTTTTTTAAGTTCTTAGTTGTAACTTTTGGACCTTAATTTTCTCACCTATAAATTGATTATAATTAATCATTTTATATGCTTTATTGAGATAGTTAAATAAGTAAATACAGTAGGTCTTCGGGTTACATTGGAGATCCGTTCCTATGGCGATTTTCGATCGCGCTGTAAGTCGGAACCCACCTACATAAGCACCTACATCACTCACATGGAGCACATAGTACACAGTAGTAATGAAATGAAACAGTAAAAAAAAAAAAAAAAATTAAAAGAAAGATAATAATTCCTGACCTTTACTTGTGGTAAATAAATAATAAAAAACATAAAGCACATATGTACATATGTCGAAATAACGGAACATTTTTTTTTTTATAAATACTGTATATGGGAGATGGCGACATAACCACAAAACAGCGTACGTCAAGTCTGAGGTAACTAGAGGACTGCCTGTAAATGTAAAACAGTGCAGTGACTGCCACATACATAGTAAGCATGATATGTGCTAAGTATTATTATGAATATTATTTTCTATACATTTCAAGTAGCTTAATTTTCTGCAGTACCACAGCTTTTTGTACTTGGGGCTTACATCTGCATTCAGCAAGAAGTTACTACACAATCTGTGCTCTTCATAAGAAGCGTTTACACAAATCTGGGACACTCTGCTTCTTAAATTAATTCTTCATCAGTTAGTGAGCACCTCTTGTGTGGGGACGAGGGGGATTCGGGGTTAGTACCCAGGCCTCCCTGAACAGTATTTCTGCCTCCAGCTTTTCAGAATTCTGGAATGCTCACTTCTCTACATGATTTGTGCACAAGCAAAATAAGATTTTACTCTTAGACTAGGAATGGCTTAGAAACAAAAAAATAAAAATCTTATACTTTATATAGTCTTATTTTTTCCTATTCTGTTTATTAATAATAATTAATGTCCAGTCTAGTGGTCTTAAAGAACAAAGAGAAATCCTCATTTTTATAGTCTGTCTTTCAGTTTTAGTTGCATTGCATGTTCTTTTAATGTGAATACATCATTCAATTAAAGCTGTCATCTTTGAAAACCTGCATATCAGAGGACATTTTTGTATGTTCTTGCCAGTTTCGTGGCAGTTTATGAAGAGCTAATAAAAGAACAAAGCTACCATGGCCAACCAATATGCTCAGTTTTGTTATTCCTATATAAGTATGAATAGAGAATAAACACTAGATAATAAGATGTAATAAAGTTATAAAATAAAATTAGTTCCAGTACTGTTTAAAAAGATTCTCTTTAAAGTAATTCCCAGAGATTTCAACTTGGGAGGTAGTTAAAAAAAAGATCTAGAAAGTTATATTTCTATGATTACTAAATTGTACTTCAGTAATATTTTTTTATTACCTTCAGGAAAATCCTTTTTCATTTGAAGCTAATGCTTAAGAGATACGTTACTTTTCAAAAATTGTTTCTTGAACCGAGCCTTCATTCCAAATGTTATTGAATATCCTAGGCATTAAAATGCTGTTATATTAAACTTTGTTCTCTCTTTCCTTATCATTGATTAAATGGAGAGTTGCTTGGTATATTGGTTTTCTTTAAGCCTAGGCAGATATATTCTACAGTTTGACTTTTATTGATCATAAACTTTATAGTGTGAGTTATTATAAAGAGGGGATGGGGCATTCCTATGTCAGAATGCTGTTTCTTTCCTAAAGCATAGTTTATTATATTAGGAAGCAAGTGCTCTATTAGCAGAACAAAAGTTTTGGTGTCAGATCCTGACTTCACTTGTTCATTGTATGATTTATTCTCTCTGAGCCCCGGTTTCTCTGTATTTGAAATTAGAGTAAGTGTTATTGTGTGAATTGCATGCAACAGCATATATTCCTGGTTTTTAGAAAATGCTAGTCCTTGTCTCTTTATTACCCCTTTCTGCCTCTTTCCATCTCACCAAATGGAATGGGCAGCAAGTGAAACCCAAGGTAGTTATATTTAGCTAGATAATCCCAACATGTAAGCCATGCTCCTAGTATTTATAAGAAATCTTTAATCACTATAGCAATAATCTAGACATTTATTTTGTATAATGAAACATATAGTAAAGCATATACTGCTTCTGCCACATGTAAAAATATAACATGAAATTATGCTCTCATTGCTTCACAGTTTTTAAGAGTATCTTATATTTTTAAATTTGTGGAATAAATATATTAAGATATGTTACTTGCAAAATTTAAGAGTGAAAAATAAGATCTTCAATATTTGTAAGGAAATGACAAAATATATTTTACCAGTCAAGAATATAAATTGCTTACATCATAAAAATAAATGTTAACAGTAAATGCTAAAATTCTGATCAGGTCTAAAGATCAGAAAGTAGTGCCAAAACATTACACTAGAAATGTCCATGGACAATTTATTAATATATCAGTTATATAATTTTATTTTTCCCCAACAGGAGAGCCTGACAAGGAGCTGAATCCTAAGAAGAAGATTTGGGAGCAGATCCAGCCTGATCTTTACACCAATGATAAGTGTGTGGCCACATACAAAGGAGCTCCCTTTGAGGTGAAAGGGAAGGGAGTGTGTAGGGCTCAAACTATGACCAACAGTGGAATAAAATAAAATTACATCAAAATACTTCAATTACTGAAATGCATTGGAAAAAACTTTGATGCCAATAAAAAGAAATATATTTGTCACTTATGCCTAAAATATAACTGCCTCATTTTTGTGTTATTTGTCTTCTAGACTGGACTAGTCTGTTACCTAGTATATATTGTTTTCAGTTGATTGGAGAAGCACTGTATTTTTACCTATGATTTTTTGACCCTTTATAATGTAGGGAGGAAATGCCCTATGTTTTTTGGTGATTTATTTTTTAGCAGGAATATTGATGTGAGCAGATTTTTTTCTTTATGCATTTTTAGATAACTTGAACTAGATTAGCATTTAGTTTCTTATAGGCACATGATACGTGAAATTTCAAGTCCTTGGATTTTTAGTATACTGTGTATCTGTGCTATAAATGTCCTCTCCTCTTAAAAAATGACAAGTTAAAAGTTGTGCAAGGTTTATTGACTAATCATATTACAATAATATTGAAAATGAACAAATGTTGATTCTTGAGAGCCAAACATCATAAAAGCTAGGAGACATGGCATTTGAACATTATTGCTATTTCTTGCCAAACTTGTATATTTAAGGCAATTTTTTTAAAAAGACTGAAATTTCCAACTGTGTGTTGAACTTTTCTTTTCATTGAGCAAAGTGGTAATAAATTTTGACTATGAAGCATAAACACATTGCGAAGTGTTGCCAGTATAGTTTCCAATAATTGACCATAAAAGCAGCAGTCTATTTTTTTACTCTAGCTGACCTAAAGATTCCTTGGGCATCTAATAAAACATTATTTATAGCTCTTTATCTTTAGAAGAGCATTTAAGATTGATAAAGTTTGCTTTTTCATGAACCATCACTGTCCATATATTAAAAGAAATGTCAGCCAAAAACTTAATATACATTAACATATCAATTGCCTATTTTCACTCGCCTTCTAGATATTCTAGGAACAATGAAAATTAACTTAAGAATCATTAGCTTCATGTTCATCAGCCTTGAGATAATGACTGGTGATTTGGGCTGCCAAAAAAAGAAATGCATCTATGGAGGTGGGCATATAGATATTGTTTGAAAGAAAAGTCTGTTCTAGCACTGTGGTTATTTATGCCTCCAATAAGGAGAAGCAAAAACAAAAATTTTACAACAACCCTGCATGCCAGGTTGGTATAAGTAAAGTTCATTTATTTAAGTCCATGGAGTTCTGGTAGGCCAGGACACATAATAGAATTTGATCTTTCTGAAAAACTGTTTATTAGCAGAGCATCATTAGCATATGTTGATAACTAAACACAAATGAGTTTTTAAAGTTATTTTGTACTCAAGATCTATTATTTTTGGAATAAAGAATGTGACAAAGTATTTTGTGATTCTGTATTTTCTAACTTAATTATAACAAATTTATTTAAATAATTCTAATATAATTTATAACTAATTCTTCGAGTTACATAAAAGCATTACTCAATTAAGTTATCAATTTAGCTCCATTCAGTAGTTGTTTTTAAAATTTTTTTTTTTTTTTTATTGATTTCAGAGAGAGGAAGGGAGAGAGAGAAAGAGATAGAAATATCAGTGATGAGAGAGAATCATTGATTGGCTGCCTGCTGCCTAATGGGGATCAAGCCTGCAACCCAGGAACTGAACCATGAACCTCCTAGTTCATGGATCAATGCTCAACCATTGAGCCACGCCGGCCGGATTATTCAGTCTTTATTTTTATTTTTATTTTTTTTAATTTTTTAAAATATATTCTTATTGATTTTTTACAGAGAGGAAGGGAAAGGGATAGAGAGTTAGAAACATCGATGAGAGAGAAACATCGATCAGCTGCCTCCTGCACACCCCCTACTGGGGATGTGCCCGCAACCAAGGTACATGCCCTTGACTGGAATCGAACCTGGGACCCTTCAGGCCGCAGGCCGACGCTCTATCCACTGAGCCAAACCGGTTAGGGCTCAGTCTTTATTTTTAAAGAAAACTTAATTTTGTTTTATTTGTATTGTTAGGATGAGAGAGCTCTTATGGAATCAACAACAAAAAAATGATTGGTGAGCTCTTATAGAATCAACAACAAAAAATGGTTTTAACAGTAGGACATAGTGTTAGTCACAGGCTAAACAGTTAGTGCCTCTTGACATCTGTTTCTATGTTGCAAACTAAACCAGAACAAATCTGTGACCTTACCCCGATACTTTCTCATCCAGGTTGGCCCACTATCATACATGAATATTGGAAGTACTAACTTTTCTTATATTTACAAATTCCATGTATTTTATTTTATTATTTTGAGATGAGTCATTTTCAGGACATGTTGATTTTAATATAAACATTGGAAACATTTTTTTCTGCCTTGTTTCTAAGCCCATCAAACAGATTGGTGTCACTTTTTTAAGATAATGTAAATTCCCATTTAGACTATTTACAAAATATTCAAAGTAATTTATGGAAGTTTAATTGGAAACATGTCATCAGAATAGAAGGTATGGCCCTAGCCAGTTTTGCTTAGTGGATAGAGGGTTAGCCTGTGGACTGAAAGGTCCCTGTTTCGATACCTATCAAGGGCACATGCCCAGGTTTTGGGCTCGATCCCCAGTAGGGGGCGTACAGGAGGCAGCCAATCAATGATTCTCTAAAATAAGTAAAAGATATATTAAAAAACAAAACAAAAAAAAGCTAGAAGGTATGGATAGGGCCTCGTAGAACAACATTAATGAGTTTAACCAGGTCCCAGTGTCTGAGCCTTAGCATTTCAGGCCCCAAGATGATGAGAAATCCATGGAGCCTAGTATTACTGGTTTTGAGGCCAGATTACCTGGTTTTGATTCCTAGCTCTATAACTTAACTGCCTCTATATTAATTGTTCAGCCCCTATATACCTTACTTCCCTCATGTGTAACATGGATATAAATAATAACATATTTACCTCGTAGAGTTGTGAAGATTGTGTAAGTTAGTATCCCTAGAGTACTTAAAACAATGCCAGTAATATAATAGATGCACATTATGTTGATACGAGTTTATGATAGTGATGTTCTTCTCCAGAAACAAGTGTTTTGGAAACATTTCCTGAGAAATTGAGTTCTTTTTTAAAAAAATATATTTTATTGATTTTTTTTACAGAGAGGAAGGAGAGGGATAGAGAGTTAGAAACCGATGAGAGAGACACATTGATCAGCTGCCTCCTGCACACTCCCTACTGGGGATGTGCCCGCAACCAAGGTACATGTCCTTGACTGGAATGGAACCTGGGACCCTTCAGTCCACAGGCCGATGCTCTATCCACTGAACCAAACTGGTTAGGGCGAGAAGTTGAGTTCTTGTGGAGATTACTTGGTGTACATAAATTAAACAGAGTGTCTTAAGGAATATTACATATAGGTTGTGACCCTGTCTTTACCAGCAGACCTGATGGTTCCTGTACACCAGATGTAATATCTCTTCCTTGATAGAGATGTTCATTACTAAAACTTTCTCTGCACTCCCACCGAAATTCATTTTTTAGACCTTTAGATGCCAGCCAGCCCTATTCATTGATGTTCTTTCACTGGTTTAATATTGATAAAAGTCTAAAATAGATTTGTATTTTTTTTAGACTAACAAGACAGTATTTTTTAACTGTTGTGTTTAACACAAATAGAAGCACTCATATTTTCAAGTTTTTGGTGGGTGTGGGAGCACCTCCTTATTGCTTATAATAGGGGCATTAAAGGAGTATAAGTATACCTCCTCAATTTTCCAGGGAAGTTATATATTGTACCTTTAAAATGTAAAAATATCAAAAGTGAACAATATGAACTATGTACTTTAGCTACCTACATTGTGACAAAAGTCCTGGTTATAAGTGCTGTGCAATGGTGTGAAAACTAACTTTATTAACATGGTACAAAATAAAAACTAGTTACTTAACCTTAAGTAACTCAACTTGCTTTCTTGTGGAGGAAGCTTTGCTCTTCAAATATTTAGTTAAGAAATAACTATGCCCTTTCCTCACAAAAGTTAGGGTGATATATTAATATCTGTCTAGTGTCACGAATTTTATTTTATAAGCATTAAGATATTTAATGCTGCCCTAACTGGTTTAGCTCAGTAGATAGAGTGTCGGCCTGCGGACTGAAGGGTCCCAGGTTCAATTCCAGTCAAGGGCATGTACCTTGGTTGCGGGCACATCCCCAGTGGGGGGTGTGCAGGAGGCAGCTAATCGATGTTTCTCTCTCATCAGTGTTTCTAACTCTGTATCCCTCTCCCTTCCTCTCTGTAAAAAACTCAATAAAATGTATTTAAAAAAAGAAACTTAAAAACAGTAAATATTATTTATTAAAAAGATATTTAATGCTTTATAGCTAATAAAATATTTTCACAAGCCTTACCAATTTCTTAATTCCCTAGAGGTGCACCAGCCATTTTACCCCAAAGAATCAACAGAAAAGTTAAATAAATGCCTGTGCTAAGATAAAATTAGCTGACCCTAGATCTTCTAATTCTTGCTAATTCTGTGTTCTTCTCCATTACAATACACTTGGTTCCATGTCTGTTAGTCACATGGTTTCTTTTCTGTGTATGAAAAGTTAAACTTTTGTTTAAACTGTGGGGAAAAATAGTGGTGAAAAGAAAACCTAAGCTCTAGTAGTTCATGTAAGGAGAGTATGGTAGCTTCTTTAGTGGAATATTTAAGGGATTCTCTGGAAAGTCATGAAATCATTAAACATTCTTGGAAGTCATTACAAAGAAAATTGATCAGGTTTTTGTTGTTGGGTTTTTTTTGTTTGTTTGTTTGTTTTTTTGCTGCTGAAGTTCTTAGGAAGAATTACTTGGCAAAACCAGGCTGTTGCTGCTGGCAGCAGTTGCCTTTCTAAAGAGGCACATGCCTTGATTCTTTGAATTGTGTACTGTTGAGGGCACTGTTCCTGTAATAACAATTCATCCCCACCTATGAGGGAAGGCACTAAGTTATTTATAGATAATAGATAGATAGATAGATAGATAGATAGATAGATAGATAGATAAATGATAGATAGGCAGATATTTTAACCAGGAACAACTCTTTACAGTTAATACCGTATTTGCAGTCCTACTTGGATAACAACCCTGAAATCTATAT